ACACAACCCAAAAAATAAACAAACAAAAAAACCAACCCAACCTCCATCATCCACCACCACCACCACCACCACCACCACCACCACCACCAAAACTCATCCCACACTGACTGGAACATGTGAAGGGACAAAGAACAACTGAAAGCACATCACTGGATAAAAAGCAGAGAATCAGATCAATAAACTAGTGCGGGACTACAACTCCCAGTACAAAAGAAGTACCTATGTTTCCATATCTGTATGAGTGATTTAATACTTCCTGTGTTCCAGTAGGTAACCTCCCAGATCGGGCAACACACTTGGAGGGTTAGATACAAAAAGCAGACATTCCAGTGAGAGAGGGCTTGATGGGGAGAAGGGAGGGAAGGGAAGTACGAAAGAAGATGATAAGTGACTAAAATGTATTATTGTTTGTATGAAACTGTCAAACAAGTTTTTCAAAATAGAGAAGTGACAAACCTCTCATGGAGAAGAATTCCAAGCAGTTTGCTAATGCACTGTCCCCAGAGAAGAGCAGCACATGCTTTCATCATTCTCTAGGAATACACTGCCTTTTGTGACTTTCTTTCTAGGAGTAGAGCATGAAGGAGGAAAGCACCTCACAGTGACAAACATCAGTACCAGTGAGGTCAGAAGCAGGTGACCTGAGAGACCTGTCATGGATCTGGAAGGCTTCTTTCAAATGCCTGCTATGATGGCACACTAACAGGCACCAAGTTTCTGTGATTAAGAATAAAATGTTTAAAAGTGGTCTAAATCTAGCTTTTGTGGTTTTAAATATTCAAAAGAAAAAAAAGAATCCAGTATTTATATGTGTGTATACGGGGCATGTACATGCTATGGCCTATGTATGGTCTGAGGACAACCATAGTGGCCAGTCCTCACCTTCTGCTTTGGTTGCGGCAAGATCTCTCTTGTTCTTCCTGTTGCAGATACCAGGCGAACTGGCCTTCAAACATCTCCCTGGAGGAGCAGCAGGGTTACGGATCTGACATATCTAGATCAGCTTTTCATGTGTTCTGGGGGGCCTGAACTCAGGTCCACAGGTTTGTATAGTAAGCACTGACCCATGTTCTAGCCCAAAGTATTTGTTTTAAAAACTATTGATTGGGGCACTATTAACTTATTATACTACTAATGTGCGGGCTATTAGATATTTGTAATAAATTCCTTCTATATAGATCTTAGTGTAATTTTGTTTTAGAGCTATTATTGAAGAGATATATGAACATTATCATTTTTGTGGCTCTATAAGCTATTAGCAGAAGCCTCATAATATTTGTCTGTCTTAGTGTTGAATTGGGTCAGTAGATCCTCAATAAAACAACATGCAAGAGAAGAAAAGTATATGGTGGGCTATTCAAAGCTTGACTTTACAGTTCTGAGACTTGAATTATCCTACTAACTTCTAACAGAATGGGGATACACTGCTGTCTGTTCTTAGACTGTATGTCTGGGGTCAGTGTGTTATTTCCATCTTGTTTTATGGGGTTTGGCTCTGGCCCTTGTTAATGAAAGTATGATGCTTAATGCTCACTGTAGGACAGTGTACAGCAGCAGCAGCAGCAGATGGCTTGTCTCAAACTTGTTAGAAGTGAGGATCAGGAAGTTTTCTTCATAAAGATAACTGCACAACAATTGAAACATGAACATTGCTGGATAGATGCAATTTGTTTGGGGAGTTAAAGGATACATACTTTTTCAGTTTCTCGAAATGAAACCAGCCCCATTTTGTGGAAAGATGAATACATCAAAATTCTTTTTGTTTTGAAACCAAAGAAATCAGCAATAGATATTCAGTCTTTGGAGGCTTAGACATCGAACATCATCAGTGGCCTGTTCATAAGTATCTAGGGTTAACTTGCACCCATTATCTCTTCTGGGTCATCCTCTCTGTGTTACTCAGGCTGATCCACAAAGCTCTTAGGAGCAAACCCTTCGAAGTGTCATATGCTTTAAAGAAAGTGAATTTTGTTTTAAAATTTTTATCATCAGTCCAGCAACCTCCTATCTCAGGTTTCCTCTAATCCAGCTAGTAGGAATAGGACGTCCTCAAGGCCACAGGGGTTTACTTTGACTTTCAGAGTTACTTGCTTGTGTAAGCATTTTCTTCTTCAGCTACATAACTCAGTTTCCATAACTTTCTGCAAAAGCATATTTTACTTTATTGCTTTAGCTAGTAAGTTGACATATATCCAACATTGCAACATGTTTGTACAACATTGTAAGGTGGCCAAGAGAAACTAGGCCTGGTGGTGAAGGCCAATAATCCTAGCTACTCAGGAGCTGAGGCAGGATTGGAAACTCAAGGCCCTCCTGGATGACAGTGAGTTCACCGCCAGCTGGAGGCACACCTTGAGATGCTATGTAATTACAAAGAGTAACAAGAAATCTCGAGGTAGAGTTCATTGGTACAGTTCTTTTCTAGGAAGCAATGGGGCCTAGGTTCATTCCTAGTGCCACCAAGAAAATAGAAAGCTCAGTTTGTCCTGACACCCCTCTAGCTCTGCAGTGACCAAGGTGAGGGTCCCATAATTGCAAAACAAGAACAGGTCACATTAATTTTGAAACATTTTAAAATTTCAATACAAAGGATTTGTTTCTAGCTTTTATTGGGGTATTTTCCTGAGGTCTCTTAGGTAATGGCTCACTATTCATGTAAGGAACACTGGACTTCTACTCTGTACCACATACTGGCCCAGCATTTGGGGGCACTGAGGTGACACAGCTGAACACATAAGAGAAAATCGTGATTTCATGAAGCTTGCGTTCTACTAGAAGACAGAAAATAAGAAAGAAAACCAGCAAGTAAGTACTGTGAAAAGGAGAACACAGCAAACAGAGAAGATGGTAGGTGAGGGACAACACAGTGAATGGGAGCCAAGGGTAGGCTTCCTTGCTGGTATTGGTAAGAATTCTTCTGAAGAGAGGTAATTACGCTAATTATTACTGTCTAGTTGTGCTAATTACTGTCTCAGGACAGTAGGATGTCCAGTTATTACAGGAGCAGGGAGTGAGCCTGTGTTGTTAGAATGAACTGTATAGTCGAAATAAGTTGTGTGGAGGGTGTTGGGAGGTGTGTGTGTGTGTGTGTGTGTGTATAGCCAATTGACACAGGAATTTTCAGGTCATACTAAAAGATTCTGGCTGGGAAATTTGATTGGAAGGGCTAGGAAGCTTGATTTGTTCCCAGGCTTAGAGAGTTCTGAATGCTAAGGGCATACCTACATCACAGCTCAGGTTTGTGTAAATACATTTCCACTTTTCTCCCCTTTCACACAGGGTCTCCCTTAGCCAGGGGTGGCCTTGAAATTATTTTACTTACTTATTTCTAAACTGACAATAACCCTGAACTTCTAATTCTCCAGGCTTTATGGCTCCAGAGCTGGGATTACAGGCATTTGTAGTTACACCTGACTTATGTGGTACTGGGGATTTAACCTAGGGCTCTGTGCGTGTTCAGTCAGGACTCCTAATTTGTCACCTTTAAAAAAAGGGAAAACATCTTGCTTCCATAAAAGGAAAATGATGGAAAAAGTGGAACCGAATACCCGGGGAAGCCACCTAAATTACAGCTTTAATTCAACAGTCGGTGTTTTAAACATTGATGAACCTTGTGCGTTCTTATTTACAGGTGGAGCTGTATCCTCTTTCAGGTTCCTTGCTGTCTCTTCTCTTGGTTTCTCTTAGTATCAAGGCAGTTTGTATTTTTCAGTCTTCGTTCCTATTTATAGATTAACCTGACAACACTGCAATTATATTTTGTTGTGTTGCAGAAGTTAGAATGCTCTTGTTCTAGTAATGGAGAAATTAGATGTAAGTTTCCCAGTTTTTTTTTTAAAAAAAAGACTTTGCTATAAACTCACTGAAGGGAGCAGTCAGGGTTTTTCTTCAAAGTCTGTACGGCATCTTAAATCAAATTTTCCTTGGGTGGACACAACAGAATAGGGATAACATAGGGTTTGTAATGCTTTTGCTTTATTCACTGTTGTGAGAATTTATGAGTACTGCCTTAAATTACATTTAGCACAATAGTACCATTGTTAAGTGCAAAGATTCCAGTACAGAGGAAGTAACTGCTGGCTTTAGTTTCCCACACTCCCTTTTATAATTTTTTTTTCTAAGAATGAGATACAAGTGTCTTATTTTTCAAGTCCAAACACTTCTCAGTTTCCTTGTAAATTGGTTTGTAACAGTAGAGGCTTTTCAAGAAAACTACTTCATGGCAATTCAGGAAGAAGCGAGTGATTTTTCTACTATCATTCCTGTAGAAGTGGTGTCATGATATCAGCAGTTCTAGTCACAGAATTTCAGAGTTCAGTCTGATTTCATTTGTAACTACTTACAGAGAGACACACGTTGACATGCGTTCACTCTGATATATAAACATCAATATTAAAAAAAAAATCCTAACAAAGTTGTGAAAACTGCAGCCACCAGGCAAAAGCTGCTTGATTTTTTAGGACTCTATGAAAGAAACACTAAGCCATCAAGCTTGGGCAGTTTCTGGCCAATCAGCAAAGCAGAAGCCCGTAACTCTGCCAGGATCAGGGTGAAGGCGATCTGCCCTGATCACTTCTACAACCTGTCGCGCACCCAGCACAGGACTTACTGAGCGCTGGGAGCAACAGGGGCAAGTTTCGGTCAAAGTTTCGGAATGAGACGCGGCGCGGGCGGCAGTTTCTGGTCACCGTGCGGCGGAGGGGACCGCAGCCGAGTGTCCCGAACACTGTACGGTCTCCACAGGGTCGAGGAGACGCGCGACAGAAATTTCTGCGCCGGCACCCAGCCTCCGCTGTGCCACCAGCCCGCACACCGGCCACCACCACGGTCCGCGATCCAGCCAGCCGCTGAGGTCCCCGGTCGCGCGCGGCCCAGCCCCCGCCTCCGACCCTGCGCGCGCCGGCGCCATGGAGACAGTCACAAGACGCTCGCGCCCGGCGCGCCAGCCAATGGGAGCGCACGTCGCGGGGAGACGCGGACGTCGCTCTTCCAAGATGGCGGCGCGTCCGTCGCGAGCAGCCGGGTCGGGGGGAAGCCAGCGAAGCCGAGTAAAGCCGCCGCCCGGGACAGGACTGAAGCAGCAGTTGCCGCCGTTGGCGGCGGCCCGGGCAGTTTCCGCTGCTGCTACGGCTGTTGCCATGCGGCGAGGCTAGGGAGGACCTCACTCCCCCGGGGTGTAATGATGTTAACAGAGGTAAGCGGTGCCCAGTGTTTACCTGAGAGGTGGGTGAGCGGCCGGCGCCAGCCCGTCACAGCCGCTGCTCTAGGCGCTGGGCCCGACCGGAGCCGCAGCCTGGCCGGGCAGCCGCCGGGTTCCCACAAGTGCCACCGAGTGGGCGCGGTGCTGACTCGGCAGAGTTCCACCTCCTCCTGCCGCCGCTCCCCTTTGCCCGAGCTGTCGCTCCTTCGTGGTGTCCGCGCCCCGCTGCCTTGAGGCGGTCGTGGTCCTCGCGTCCCGGTGCTGGCCTTCGTCTACGTCCCCGGGCTGCGTGGCCCTTCCCCTCACGGCTGGGTCAACCTCCTGGCGGTGGCAGCCGGCCTGAGCGATTGTGCCTTTCACCCCTGCTCTGGCTGCTCCGCGAAGTGAGCCAGGTTCCTCCAGCCACACTCGCTGGCCTCGTGCCCTCCTCCCCTGCCCCCACATCCCGTCACGTTCCTTCAGTCCCCTGATCCCGAAGTTCAGTTTGGCATCCACCTTCCTGACCTGAGGATGGTCCCCTTGCTTTTCTCTGTGGAAGTTTTTCTCATTTGACCTGAAATGGAAGTAGGGCAACAACGATGAACCAGTCAGTTTCCCTTTCCTTAGTGCCTACTGTCCAGTGCAGAAACCAGACTTTTGAAGAAGTAGAGTTTGCCTGCACCAAGCAATACTTTAGGGGGAAGAACTTAATCGGTGCAGCTAGTTTAATGACCAGAGGTGACATAGCTGTGCGAATGGTCTCTTGCAGGTGTGGATGTCTGATGCTTGTAGATTTGATCAAATCCCAGAAGCTGCTCTCTTGGGTTCTGTGAGGATCCTGATGTCAGGGACTGGTTTGGACATATTTGTGAGCTGATGTGAGGGTAATAAACAACGTTGATGGTCATTGGGAAGCAGTCCTAAACGTGCCAAAAAGGACATAAAACATTCGAGACAAGTGGATTTTACTGTGCGAAAAGCGACGCTACACTGGACTTTCTAAGTTTTAGGAACTTGTCTAGCTCAGAAGCCTTGTACTTTAGTGTTTGTTTTCATCTGTGTCTAGTATCTGGCTTACATGACATGCCTGGGAAATCCCTATTGGTTGGTTGTTAACTTATGAACCACACATTTCTAGGAGTTAGACGTTCACTTAAGGTTTCCTAATTCTACATATTCCTGAAGTTACTTTCATTGTCACAGACTATGGTTATAAGTTGCCATTAGTTGTAGATTTAAAAAGCAAATAGCATTTCAGTTTATTTTACTCTGATTTTTCAGTGAGAAGCTGTTCCTATATCAGTATTAATAACTTTTTAGTGATGTCTATAATATATGGCATGAAATGTCCTTTTGATAAAACTTTTTAGAGTTTTCATCTTTTCACATGAAAGTTATGTGCTGATACAAGAATACCCCCAGGATTCTAAACGACTGTATTTAATATGACTTAATATTTCAGTGAAGTATTTTAAACAGGTCAGTGATGGTAGCAAGCTATCCTTTTATGCGCACTCTCTCTCTCTCCCTCCCTCCCTCCCTCTCTCTCTCCCTCTGTGTGTGTGTGTGTGTGTACGTACACATCACACAGTCTTGTTAGTGACAGAGCCAGTGTTCCAGTACTGGCAGGTTCCTGTAGAGCTATTTTATCAAGCAGTACTTGGGGCTGCTGCTCTGAAGTAAAACTAAGATTAAATTGTACTTTGATCTCATCTCTGATTTTCAGTAGACATTTTATAGATAAGCAGACTGAGGCCCAGAGACTGGTCCAAGGTCAAACAGTTATTAGTGAAATAGTTGACACTAGAAATCGCATCTCCTGACTCAGCTCAGAAACTAACCACTTTGCTCAGCTGCCTTTCAGTGAGTAGTTTTCAGCTTTCTTGACCAATTTCAAAACATCTTACTTCCTCGTCGGAATATTGTTATCAGTTGAACAGAAAAGAATTCATTACTTGAGAGTTTTGCTGAACTTAGCTTGTCCTTTTCTTTTAAAAGGCCCGGTAAACAGTCCTGTTTTGAAATATTGTAGATACAGATGACTTTGTGTGTCTGCAAGTGATAACTTACACCAGTCAGCAGGTCTTAGGATTTAGGGGATGTGATTTAATTGTTAGATCTCAAAATCTAATGTGATGAGCTGAATCGTGAAAGGTTTTCTTACTTTTTTACTAGTCATGTTCAGCAGGCATTTTCCCTGGTCAGAAGGTAGTGAGCTAGGGTAGGTGATATTGTCACCATTAGGTGTGTGACAAAATGGATTGAGAAGGTGAAAATAACTTGATTAAAAACCACAGAAGCCTCACCCTTAAGCCTTCTTATTTACAGTTCTGTGATGTGTTGAGACCTCCCACACAATGTAGAGTCCCTCCTCTTCCCTCTCCTCCTCTTTCCCTTCTTCCTTTCTTCTCCTTTCTTCCATTCCTATCCTTTTTATTTTGTTTCCACTTTGATACTGTCACTGTGCTAGTCTTAATAAAGTAAAGTGAGGGTACATATATGATCATAATATCAATAATAATAATTCATATGAAAATATTCACTTTTGCTTTTGTCAAAATTATGCATTTAATTGAAACTTCAGGAATGAGATAACGTGAGTTATTCATTAAGAGCTATTTTGTATAAGGTAAAAGGGAAAATTACTCAATTAAGTAAACTAATATCTACATTGAACTTTGAAACTTGTAAAAGATAGTGGTGTGAATGAAAGTGTAGGCCTAGTTAGGCAGTTCTCATTTTTAACTTTTCGGCTTCATTTTTTGCTTTAAAGTATTTTTTAGTGCAGTTGAATTATTTGGAAGACTCTTTATCCATTTTGTGTACTTGTATATCTTTATATTTTCCATCATGGATGAGATAGGTACTTTTAATATCCAGTTAAGATTTCTTCCTGTGATTTTGTCATTATAAGACTTACTGTTTTTAATGTTTCTCCTATAACATTTGCAGAAATTTATCTGAAACATTTGAAAATATTTGCTTAATATTTTCTGGCTTTCTGCTTCTGAAAAGTAAATGTTACATCTCAAAATTGGGACTTTTTAAACGTCAGTTTGTTTTAATTAGTGTGAATTTTCTTAGTATTAAAATATTGTTAAATATCACTGAATTTTGTTAGTAAACTATTAAAGTTTTCTTGATATTTCAGAAGCTATACTGATTCAGAAGCTGTTATAATTCTAGAAATAGTTTATGACAGCTAAGAAAAAGTACTAGGAGATGGAGGAAAATGTGCTGAGTTGATTGTGGTGAGACGGCATAAGGCTGTTTTGTGTCATCAGTTGTCAGTCATTTGCCATTTCTGTGCCGGGACAAACAATGGACAGGCAAGATGGCTCTGACCTGCAGTTCTAGCACTTGAGAAGTAGGAGCAAGAGGAGCTAGGCCAACATCTGGCTCTTAAGCCAGTCTGGGGTCCATGAGACCCTGCCTCAGAAACAGACAGCAGCCAAAAAAGAGAATGAGAGATGCAGTGGGAGATGGAGATAGAAAGTGCCTAGACGTGTATATATGGAGCATTAAGTGAATTTTAAATAAAATAGTTTATATCTGTGTTAAAGCACTTCATCCACTTTATTGATTTTTAGATATGAACATTTGTTTTTTACTTCAAGGTTAACAGATATGAAACAGATGGAAAAGACCTTAATGGTAGGACTTGTAGCAGTCCCAGCTTGTTAAGAAATTAAAAGGCTTTGTGGTTCAGATGAATTAGGAGGATACTTGTTCAACGAAAATGAAATCAGTTTCCTCTCTGGAGGACTGCTCATTGCTTTCTATGGGTGATTGACTCAGAAAGAAAGTGATACAGTTATAGCTTATTGCAAAGTTATGTGACCATGGAGACTTCCAGAAATGCCTGTGCTTTATGTGGTGAAGCTTTGAGACTTAGTGGATGGTTGTGCATCAAGGAAAGGGCTGAGCTTCTAGGGACCGTTTAGTACATAACTGTACACATACACTTGCCTGTAAGTACTATGTAAAATAGTATGGCAGGATTTTATTGATTAGTGTATTTATGGTGGAAATACTCTTGGGATCGATAAATCCTTAAACTCTATGAGCTGCTTCTTTAATTATTTATTAATGGCATTGTGGAGGCTGCTAACCAGAACAAGAACTTAGGAGGCTTACTCGTATTCAAGGCATGTGAAGAGGTGTGGAAAGGACTTTACAAAAGGGGTGGAAGGTTTTCACCAGAATGACCCTGGCTTGCTAGTGTACACTTTCCTTGTTTGGCATGATTAGAAGAGCTAAGCTGAATAGTTGTGTTGTTTTGTTTTGTTTTGTTGAGACAGGGTCTCATGTAGTCCTTACTGTTCTTAAACTTTATATAGACCAGGCTGGCCTTGAACTCATAGAGAGCTATCTGGAAGGGTTTCTCTGTATAGTCCTTGCTAACCTGGAACTTTCTCCATAGACCAACTGACCTTGAACTCACTGTGATGCCCCTGCCTCTGGCTTCCAAGAGCTGGGATCAAAGGCATTCATCACCACCTTCCCACAAGATTTAATTTTTAAACGAATGTTTTATTTTCACAATCTTGTATGTTTAGTAGAGTACATCGTGGTATTTTGAATTAATGTATAGTTTGAAATGATTAAGTGAAGCTAACTAACATATCCGTCACCTCACTTTTCTTTCGTTATTTAATCAAGAATTCTTGATTCCTTTCTGTAGTCAAATTCTTATAGGTAGGACTTTACTTGTTTAATACCGTGCATTACCTCTGTGCAACTGGAAAAATTGTTTACTTTTTCTAGCCCAATGTGACTGTTAATTTCTGTGAAACAACATTTTACCATAGTAAATTGGGATATGTTTTTCCTAAGTTGATAGCACAGTTTAAGCCTCTAAAAATTCAAATTTTATCAATATAATTTGACACACACACACCTCAATAATAGCAGCATGTTGTTGAGTATTGATAGCAGTTACAGCATTTCCAGATTCTACAGTCATCCTTTTAAAAATGAACTTTACTTAGCTTTTAAATAAATACATTGATACT